CAGGGAGCCCGATGTGGGACTCGATCCCGGGACTCCAGGATCATGACCCGAGCCGAAGGCAGTCGCTTAACCAACTGAGCCACCCAGGTGCCCCATATCGGTAATAACTTACTACAATCAAAAACAGGGACCAGCCTTGAAAAATCCCTAAGCAGACAATACCAGTTTAATCATACAAACAAAGATTAATTTAACTTATTTTGCAAGACTAACTTGACCTGGGTAATTTCTTATTATGCCTCTGAAAATCACAAGCAAAACTTAAACTGTTTCCCAAGGTTGATATGAGCTGTGCCCTATCATTTAAGAGAATTCTAATATTATAACCAGTCACTGTGAAGAATAAATAGTCTGCTTTCCCACTACATAAGCTGCTTTATAGCAATATACCCCTGAGCCTCATTACATATTTTGGTTTGAGTGCTCCTGGTTTGCAAACTGTCTTTTTGGTATGTGCACAGTAAACTTTGACTAATTACTACTTCTGGTGATTCATTCGTTTTACTTCTGTTATGTCTAAATTTTTGACAAACTATTACTATAGGGAAACTAATCCAATCTGAAATGAACTCAACTTTGATATGTATGGAGATGAATGGGTGTTTTAAAGGGAGAAAGAGGGAATAAAGGGGAGGCAAGTGGAGCTCAAGAGAGTAAATGCAAGTAGGCCAGCTGTGTATGCTAGCTGGCAATCACTGAAGTTAGGATTCTACCTTCCAACAGAGACTGGGAGACAGAGGCCTAACCTCAGGTGTTAGCTGAAACGAAAAGAAAAAAAAAAACAAAAACAGCCTTGAGTTTTCTCAGGCAGGCACTTTAAGGGGTCTGGGTTCATCTTAGGATGTGGCCTTGATCTGTTAGGAACTACAGTAGTGTTTGTTCAAGTTTTTATATGTCAAGGTTGAGGCCTAGTCGAGAACAGGGCTCAGAGGAGCCTAGCTACAGTTTGGTCAAGGAGAGAATCTTTGTTACATGTTTCTGATTCTAGTGACATGTGGTTGGTGATGTCATTCATAGAGAAGGGGAAGTGACAACTAGGTTTAAAATCTAGAGGAGACCAAATCCCATGTTAAGTATGAAACATTTGAATGGCTAAGAAGTTAAATATAA